AAAGCAATGCAGATTCTCCTGAATTATTATCACTCATTAATTTTAAAACTCCACTAAGAATCACCCGTTCCTCTACGTCTATCATTACTCTTCAATCCTCAACTTCACAATAATTTGTTTCAGAAACCCCTTAAGTACAGAAAAAAATGATAATTATTTTAGTGCAGAAATCCCCTTTGTGATATCACTTGTAGGGTTTCTGCTCTAAACAAATTATTCCAAAGGTGCGATTAGCCGCATAAATAAGACGCACATATGAAATTTGTGCACAAATCGATGTGTCTACTAATAGAATACAAGAAAATACAAAAAAAGTTGTTTTACAATTTTTGTCTTTTATGGGGTTTCTGAAATAAACGATTGAATTATTAATTCTCATAAAATCCAGTTGATGAAGGCTGCTAATGCTTACATTACCTCTCATTATAATTCACAAAACTTAAATTATTTTATTCTCAATATATACATATTTGTATTATTGATATAACTTGTAAATACTATGTTTATTGTATTATGTACTAGATTCAAATTTGTAAATTGGACTTGTCCCATTAAAATATTTAAGAAATACCTATATTTCACATAGAAATGTGATCCTGGATTTCCATCTAACTTGGGAGACCACATTACTCGTACTGTATCAAAGATATTGTTTGTTGCTACAAGTTGATGAATAAACTCTGGTTTATCTAATAAAGTACCTTCTGGGAGAGGAAGTTTTGTTTGTTGTTCAACAAAGAATCTAAAACAAAAATAAGTATTTATTTTAATTGTATTATTAAACATAAAACTATAAATAATAATTAGGAATATTATATTATTAATAAATATATGAAATTATGGAGATAGATTCTAGTATTCTAGAAGACAATCAAGTAAAAATATTCATATAACATTAATATTTTGCAATTCACTATAAATAAAGTACTTAATCATTATTTATAATTTTTAAACTACTTGTTCATTTCATTATATTGAAATTAAGAAAATATTAGGGATAAAATAAAATACATACGGTTCGCCAGCACCAGCCTTAGTGGTAGCTCTTATATAAATTCGATAATTAGTTCCAGGTTTTAATGCAGCTATTTTAGCACTAGTCTGGGTAGGGTTGGTAATTGCAGGTCTATATTGCATTAAACCTACTCCTTCTGGTGTCATTGTCTGATAAGAAATTTCATAACCAGTTAGCACTCCATTAGTTTGTTCTGGTTGCTTCCAACTCAATAAAATTGCAGAAGAACCCCATTGTTCAGTTTCAACACCATGCACAGGCCCAGGCACTAAGATAAATTAAATTTGTAAATTATGTTTCAGTTAATAGAAAACTTAAGGCACAGTTAGTTACTATATTTAAATAATTACCTCCTTCTGGAGTATCAAAAGATATCAATGGGCTTGGAGGTCCATTAAAACGACTGTTATGAGCTAATATACGAACAAAATGTTTTGAATTGGGGATAAACTTTTTAATCTCAGCTGTTGTTGTATCAGGGCCCACTTGTTCTTCTATTACATTATTTTCTCCATCTCTCTCTGTCCAAAATTGAATCTAGCATAAAAAAATGAAATAAGTATATATATATATATA